TCATGCTTATTACATTATTTAAGAATTTAGCAAAAATATTTACGAACTTTGGGACTGACCTAATACCAATTTTATTTGACGAAATAGTCTCGTGAGAACTATTTCAACCCTTTTTAGTCGCCTTTTACGACAAGCAAGGGATACTTTGGGCGTATTCTACCCCTGGCCCACAAGGGGAGGTTCTATGGGAAGAAGGATGAGATATAAGTGTATAATAGAGAATTAGGTAGCGATAGAATGCATTATTTGAAAAGAAAATAAAACAAAATTAAAAGAGGATAAAATTATGAGATCATTTTTACACGTATATATAATATTTACATCTATTATTTTACATACCTTCACACACACGTAGATTTTATTTCTAACGAAATATAAAAATGAAAAAAAAAAATGCAAAAAAGAAACAAGAAAATATGATGATTTCAAAAACTTCAATTGCATTCACCGATTGCTTTGTATCGTACGAAAAATATAGGATGATACGAAAGGAAAAAAAGAAAAAAAACTGGATGAAAGAGAAAAAGCGAAAGAGTGTGTGTGTGTGAGAGAGAGAGAGAGATGCACCAGGAGCACGCCACGTCGACCATAAACTTTTATTCGCATTCAAATTCAGGCTGAAAGCGTCCTTAAAACGAACGTATCTCTTCCTTCCTGGCACCCACCTCCTTTACTCCTCCCCACATTTCCTCTCCACACTTTTCCATCGTTCTAACATGTAAGAAACATTTTCCTACACGTTTCTCCTAACAGTTCTCCTTTGAAAACTAGAAAATGTTTGTATTACTATACCAACGAATAGACACCATACTCGAAACACACCTGATCTTTCACAAATTGACCATATAACTTTGTCCCAAGGCCAACGAAATATTATATTTTCATATAGAGAAAGAAAAGTGAAATAAGATATGGGAAAAGAAAAAAATAACAGAGAGAGAGAGAGAGGGGGAGAGAAATTATATTGATGTAGTAAAAAGGAATTTCAATTATTTGGTACGTTACATAAAGTATTTATGTTTTAATAAAGTATTGTGAATTTTTTTGTAAAAAAGAAAAACAAAATTTAAATGTTAAATCTTTGATCATATTTAAATAAAATATATATATATTGAAATGGATTATTTTCATATTTAATTCAATTGTAATATATAGTTTTTCTGATTGTGAAATTAAAAAAAAGTAATAGTAAATTTTGTACTAATTTTATGATTATATTAAAAATGAAAAAAGTAACAGTTAATTTTGTACTAATTTTATGAATTCTAATTGTACGTTTATCTTGTTTCTATAATAAAAATTGTGATCAAATATTATAATTATTAAATACAAAATTACATTTTAATTTCAA